GCGTCCGTGCACGCCGCCCTCGTATTCCCTGGCGCGCATGTGTTGATGTGTGGGGGGGGTTGGTGTCACATAGGAAATGTCCTTTTTAATCAGGGGAAAAAATATAAAATGACTCGGGAGCAAGGCAAGCATATAAATGGGCCTCATTTGCATATGCTCGTCAGCCAGGATACGTTTATTAAAAAAAAAAAAAAAAAGAGGAGAAAGGGAAAGAAAAAACACAAACTGGATTTGTCAGTTCATTTCACAATATTCCATTGTCTATCTGCCTTTGTTATATGTTAAAGATAAAGGCAGAAATCAAATTGGAGAAAAGGGCAAGCTGCTATCTCCCCAAATGAGCAACAGCTCATCAACCTAGTTTTTTTTTTCTTTTTGCAGATTTTGATTCCAAAAGGCAGCAGCTTCTGAAAAAAAGGCCCATTCAAATAAGATCTCCCATATATACGCTCGGCTGATGATAGACACCGTATATTTATACAATATGAGTTATTCCTAAGATAATTGCGGCGCCATTCAAGTCAAGATGAGAGCACAATCAGACGATTTTTGTTGAAAACTTAAGCAGGCTTTGACAGAAGCACATCCAACTGTTTCATTTAAGTTGACAGAACAGAGAAAAAGCAGAGAAACAAGCGGTGCTCAGAGGGCTGCCCACGGCTGATGCATTCCTCTACGCACAACTGGAAACTGGTCACATTGTCTAATTCATGTCCTCAAGATAAGAATCCAGCATCAGCTGTGGGCTGGAGAGCCTGGCCACTACAGGAACAGACGCCGCTTATGTCTACTAACCTCCCACAGAGAGAAGACAGAGGACGAGCGAACCAGATGACAAACCAAGCAAAGATGGCTGTAGGTTGCCCTGCCTAATGCAGAAATAGTGGGAGGAGAAAGAGAAAATGGAATCTGATAAACTCTTACGCTAGATTTACCATTAGGCAATACTAGGCAGTTACCTGCCAAGTTCCTGGGGGCCCCATAAAACTGTGTTTACATGTATGGTTTATACAACTATTCCTTATTGTGCACATTAATTATGTTTTTGATCAAAATCCTTTACCTAAAATGCCATCAGAACGCTTATAATATTAAGTGTGTCTCAGTGTCCACCATATTGGATCAGTCCATTTGCTGCACATGTTCAGAAAGGTCCAAACATTCAGCAGCAAACCATTTAAAAACAAACAATGCAAAGAGCAGTGTTGCCAACTTAGCGCCTTTGTCGCTATATTTAGCCACTTTTCAGACCCCTCTGGCAGTTTTATTTCAAAAAAGCGCCTAGTGCCAAATCTACCGACTTTTTTCTGCTACTGGAGACTTTGGCAACAACATCTAAAAGCAGCGAACTCTGCTCTCCAGAGCGAGTAGATTGGTAACCCCGCCTCCTGCTCTCCTCTATCTTGTCTGATGTCATGATTCATGCAGTTATTATTTCATCCAAATGAAAAATGGAGAACAGATAAGCAGATCATGGCTTGTCTACAGTGAAAAGAAGGACTGGGTTATTTACTTTTGCCTTTTTGGAAACACAGGAAGGAGCAATCAGCTAAGTGAGCTTAGTGCTTGGAAAAAATCTTTCATTCCTTTTGAGACAGCATGAAAAGTCAGCAGAGTACAAAACATATAGAGGAAAACAAAAAGAAGAGAGGGACAAAATGTAGAACATAATGTATGCCCCCCTGGCTGAATTTGCCAGGGGCCCAAAATGTTTTAAATCTGCGCCTGCGTTTAGATGGCCTTAGCTTCTCTAACAATGTTTTGGTATTGGTGCCTTCCATGAAGGGAAGCCATCCTGAAACCAGCCTGGTACGTCAGCTTAACTTATCCTCATGGAGCCACTCTAACCAGGCAGCCTACTAATCAGCTTAATGAGTTATTATACGATATTTTGTTGACGAAAGCAGAAGCGTGGTCATCGCTTCGCAGGGTTTGACCCGAGCAAACAGCCGGGAATGGTGGGAATGGCTCCTTCTAACGCTCCATCTGGAGAACAGATGGGTCGGCATTAAACCATTGTTACTCGCTTTTCTTAAATTATTTATCTGCTCATGTTACACATATGAAAAGAAAAAAATATTTTCCGCAGTAGAAGAAGCAGGAGAACAAAAATAATTCAGTTTTATTTCTTAAGTGCAGAACAAGATAAGAGGAAAAGCAACTGAAAAATAGATAAACACAGGTATAGGATAAATCCATTGAGACTTTTAACTTCTTGACAAAGAAAGTGAGTAAAATTTGAATAAGAACTCTTTGTTCACTTGATCAACCCTTTTTGTTTGAAGTGCTGTCGTAAATATCATAATTGTTGTATTGAGGTAGCTTTCCAACAGTTTAGCCGTGCTTTTTCATTAAGGCGTGTAATTGAAGGAATTCTGATAGGATGGGCACTAATAGCTTAATTACACACCTCTCACTTAGTAGCAGAGTAATTATTCCATCCAGTGCCGTTTGAAAAAATGTTAGAAGACGTCGCAGAAACCCTCAAAGCCCTCAGTGTTAAAAAGATATAGCATCAGGTATAAACATCAGAGAGAGTGGACGCACTGACAGACAGCGGTGCTTTGGATAGTTTGGTCACATCGCAGGATCGCAAGAAACCCCTTTAGTGCCTTTATACATGTTTATTGTCAGTTATTTGCTTTATTTTAACAGAGTTCAAGGCAAAACAAAGTAAAGAACAACACTTATAATCATAAGTTACATATAAAAATAAGAGAGAACAGAAGAACAGAACAAATATGGATAAAAAGCAATGAGACTGTGTGCTGCTTCAATTCAAATTACTTTATTTTTATAGCACCAACATGTCATCTCAATACGCTTTACAGACCATTCAGTAGGACTGGTTAGAAGTTTCTATTAAGGAAAAACAGTTGATTGCATCCAGTTATCGACTTGCAAGACAAGCTCTAAATGTTGAGATTTGTTCCTGGATTCCCATGCAGGATGAGACGGTTACAGTAATAAACAAATCTTCTTCTCTGCCAAACAGACAATAATCCCAGGTTTGATACTATCATATAATAACATACAGTTAAAATCCATAATTTCCTATACAGCTGCTGAAATTGCTTCTTCCATTGAAGTTCATTCATCACTACATGTCTCTTGGAAACACAGCAATTCAACAAGCTAGTTTCTCTATAGTTAAACACTTGGATCATCTACAGTAGCAGCCATTCAAAATGTCCCCACTTTCCATGACGGTTCCTTGGCTCATCCTCTACAATTCCTTTTTAAACATCAATCTTTGTTCTAAAATATTCTGTCAGTCATGATTTGTGGACATTAAGATCTAAATAGAAGCATCATCTCCTGGTCGGACCCTGTAAATCAGTGAGTAATCCGAGTAGTCAGAGTAAAAAAATATGCACGCCCAGGAGAAGGCCAGTGGCTGGAAGTTGGAGGGGATTTTGCTGGGAGATGCAGGGAAGTGGGCTGCCATTTGACTGGGAAGAGCCATTTTGAATGGCTGCTACTGTAGATTTTAAATTACAATAGTAGCCATTCAAAATTTCCTCACTTTCCCTGATGGGCCCTTAGCTGGCCCTTAGCTGGTCCCCTGCAATTCCTTTTTAAACATCAATCTTTGTTCTAAAATATTCTTTCTGTCATGATTTGTGGACATTAAGATCTAAAGTGAAGCATCATCTCCTGGTCATCCTTTAGTGAAAGGATGGAGTCAGACTAAAAAAAAAAAATATGCACGCCCAGGAGAAGGAGGGGGTCACTCAAATGGCTGGAAGTTGGAGGGGATTTGGCTGGGAGCCGCAGGAAAGTGGGCTGCTGTTCGGCTGGCGTTTGACTGGGAAGGGCCATTTCTAATGCCTGCTACTGTATGATCGGATCGCAGATTTTCAGGATCCTGCTGTGGTAAATTTCACTATTAACAGACAATAAACTGTTGTAGTTTCTCATCAACCTTTTTTATTAAGCATTAAGGGATTTTGTCTGGGCTTTCTGCTGCTCCTCTACAGAAATATTATTGTTTAAATCCTTACACCACGCCTGTCTGTTGTTTTCAGGACCATTTCTTGATGTTGATATTTCATTTGATGACATTAATCTGATTCAAAAAAGGCAGAATAGATCCTCAATATAAAAATGTAAATAGGCAAACATCCATTTTATCATCTTACCATCAGCCGAGCCTATTACTCCGCTGCTTTCCAATGGCTGCAATAGACAAGATCTCGTTAGTTTTTCCAGAGCTATATCATTATGAAAATCTCAATACATCGTCATAATTTCTAATGACAAGAGAACAGACAATAGGAAACTTTTACTTGAAATTAGTGTTGCGCCGATGCCATTTTTGGGCCCTGATACCGATACCTGGCTGTGCAGTATTGGCCAATACCGATACCATCTATTTGAAATTGATGTTTATTGTGTATATGTGAAGAACTGCATACTACTTGGATGTAAAATATTTACCATCATGGCTTTGTCAAGCTGCTGCTTACCTTTGTGAAGCAGGAAAAAGACTAATACAAAGTGAATCCAGTAGAACTTTTTATTGCCAACCTGGAATGGGTGAGAATAGTTGAATAAACTTTTGTCTCTCAAAATGGTATTGGGGCCCTATTTGTTGGTTACTGGCCAATAACGATACCACCATTTTAGTACCGGTATTGGTGCAACAGTACTTGAAAAATAGTTTGAATTTGAAGAAAAAAAAAAAAAATTGCCTCCTTTCACATTTCCTTCCTAAGTCATCTAGACTTAGATCTGGACAACATTTATTGTCATTCTGTATACAAAAAGTGTATACACATCTAAACACATCATACTGCAATTAAAACATAAATCTATATCTCTTCTGTATGGAACAAAGGGTCATTTTCCAAATAGGGGAAAACTGGTACATTTGTACTTCATTTTTTAATTTAAATGAGCATCAAACCAGATTTGAATAGTGTTCTTTACAAACGTGTGTTATGTCTTCTTCATTTCCTACTTCTAACAGATTTCTCATTTTGTGTCTTGTCTCACAGGATGGAGGACTCCAGTTTATGTCTTGGTGTATCTTCAGCAGTGCCTGACACTGATGCCCATCTCAGTAGCGCAGTTTTAAATGGCCGCTACCCCATCAGTCAAAAGCTTCACCAGCTCACTGCCCAACTAGGACACGCCTTTCCTGACCTACACCGCCCTCAGCAGATCCCCGAAGAGAAGGCTGTCACGCCTCTGGATGAGAAGACGCATCACGCAGCCCTGGCCAGTCAACCTATTAGCAGTCAGATGGCCCTGTTAGCCAATCAGCTCAACCGAGATATTGACGCAGGCGCACTGAGTGGGTTAAATGGCCGTGTTGACCTTCAGCAGTTTCTCAACGGCCAAAACCTGGGCATCATGTCGCAGATGAATGATATAGAAGATGATGCTCGCAAGAATAGAAAGTATCCCTGTCCGCTTTGTGGCAAACGTTTCCGTTTTAACAGCATCCTTTCACTCCACATGCGCACGCACACGGGCGAGAAGCCGTTCAAGTGCCCATACTGTGACCACAGGGCAGCTCAAAAGGGTAACTTGAAGATCCATCTCCGCACTCACAAACTAGGGAACCTGGGTAAGGGCCGTGGCCGTGTCCGAGAGGAAAACAGGCTGCTTCATGAACTGGAGGAGAGGGCAATCTTGAGAGATAAGCAGATGAGAGGCAGTGCAAGTCTTCTCCAGACAGCTCAAACGCCCCATCTTGTCCTCAATAGCAGCTCCAACACCCATCAGCAGCCAATGCCGTCAGCCTGTGGTCCTCCTCCGATTTCTGGCCTCGCCACTCCAGACACAATTTCTCAGCCCTCCTCTTCACCCAAGCCCACGAGCCAGGAGGAACAATCCATGAATCCAGCCAATGGCTACCGTTGTACCTTCTGCAAAGGGAAGTTCAAGAAGCGTGAAGAATTAGACCGCCACATTCGTATTCTCCACAAGCCCTACAAATGTACTCTCTGTGAATTTGCTGCCTCACACGAAGAAGAGCTGATAAGTCATGTGGAGAAAGCCCACATCACTGCTGAGACCACACAAGGACAAGGTGCCGGTGGGGCTGGTGGCATGCAGATGGCCACTGAATTTCGATGTGACGTCTGTGGCCAAGTCTTCAGCCAAGCGTGGTTTCTGAAGGGTCACATGCGAAAGCATAAGGACTCCTTTGAGCACTGCTGTCAAATCTGCGGTCGTCGCTTTAAGGAACCGTGGTTTCTGAAGAACCATATGAAGGTCCACCTAAACAAGCTAGCCATTAAGAGCAAGCCGCCACAGCCCAGTGAGCAGGATATAGCTGCTGTTAACAGCATGAGCAATTTAGCTCAAGAGGCTCATGCCAATCTTTATGCCCGCTACATTTCATGTCTTCAAGGAGGTTTTCTTTCACCTGACAAACAAGGCCTCAGCGAGCAGCACCAGATGTTGGCTAAAGCAGGGATCGCCATGAAGGAGAAAGAGATGTTAGGGAAGCTGTTAGGACCAATGGCGGGAGGTATGGCTCATGGGCTTGGTGAAAATGAAAAACGCTCACTCCTTGGATGTCTCAACCTTGTGCCGCCTCTCAAATCCAGCTGCATGGAGCGCCTTCAGGCGGCTGCAAAGGTTGCAGAAATGGACTCTCTCAACAGTTACCAAGCATGGCAGATCATGGCGCGTGGCATGGCAATGGACAGGGCTTTCATGCCGAAGGAGCAGCAGCACCAGCAGCATTTAGCCTCTGGGCAGGAAGATGAGATAAGTGGTGCCGTGGCCCTAGCCTCCTACGGAAAGGACAAGCAAGACTACCCTATGATTGCTTCCAGTGAAAGCTCCAAACAGAAGCAGCTCTCTGAGGGCATGCAGGGAACCAAGGCTTCTAGTGGGGCTATGATTCCCACGAAGGAGGACGGAAGAGGCTTTGAAAGTCATCGTGATCTAATCACTCACCATGGTGGCACTGAAGCCCCTGGAGGCCTGTCTGGTTTAGGAGCCCCGAATATCGACTTCAGCATTTCCAGTCTGAAGGAAAAGCCTTCAGAGTGCCCTGATTGTGGCCGCGTCTTCAGAACCTACCATCAGATGATTGTCCACTCCCGAATTCATGGTAAAGACAGGAGAGGCATCGATGAAGGTCTTCATCAAGGTGTGGATGAACGCCGCGGCTCAGCGAGTGACCCCGAGTCCCAGTCCATTAGCCGTTCCACTACTCCCGGTTCGTCAAACGTGACCGAAGAGAGCGGTGCGGGGGGAGGACAGTCCCAGACAGGAAGCATCCAAGATGATAGTCCACATCCCTCATCGCCATCTTCAGGTACCAGAACAAAATCCTAAAATGGGTTCATTGTACGCTCCTAAAACAGTAATTTTACTTTTTCGAGCAATCGATTTTTAAAGATTTGTTTAGAAAGAAACCACAGATTATTTTCACAACAAAGATTCTTTCTTGACTCAGCATAGATACACTCTTCACGCAGCTTCACCCTGAAGAGTAATTCAAAGGCAATAGCTACAAGTTTAGGTCCTCCTGACCACTAGATGGTACACTCATCTTACCTGCTCTCTTTCTGTACTGTTTTCTTGCTGGTTGCTAGGGCCAGCTAATGCTAATGCTAACCTGACAAATACTAAGGCCGTTTCTCAATATGTGTACTTGAGAAACATCATTATGCTCAGCCCTAGCACTGTTCTAATTCACAAGAACAAGAAGACCAAAACAGACAAAGTCCCCGGATGTTCTCGCCCCTCCCTCTTTACCCAGCATGCATCAGAGCAGGCTTGTCTATTCTCCAGATTGACAGCTGTCCCAGCATGCACTGCGGCAGCAGCTGCTACCAGGTTAGCGCTCACAGAGCTCAGAGTATTAAGTTAAAGGTTTTTGTGTTGCCGTTGTTCAGTAAAAGTAAGTTTTAAGATCTTTTCAGACGGGAACATAATACTTTTAAGCGTCTCTAGATGGCCCATTTACTGATTTAATGCGCTATTAAAAAAGAAGATTCCGAAGTTGAGAGGACCGCCGCAACCAGAGTAGCTCCGAGACTAACTGCTAACGTTAGCCCGTCTGCAGCAGCCCTCTCTCTGCATAGTCTTGTGTGAAGTACCGTTGGCACTGATGGCGACTTTTCTGTGATATTTAGCTAAATGTTCATTTGATTTGTGTTTATCTGACTGTGTTCATTATTATTCCCGCACTAAATGAAAAAAGTAATAATTCATTTTATTCTAGAGACTATTAATAACAGGAGGTGAAATGCAGCTCCAGACGAGATGAGCATGTGGTGAAGTCATTAGTACGCTTCTGTTCCTATTGACCCATATTTATGCGGCGTGCATAAATATAGAGTACACATTTCCGTGTGTTATTCTCAAGAACATACTTGGCGAGGACACGAGTCCAAACTCGCATTCTTGTGAATTGAGGAACGGCCTTAACTTACCCTTGTAGAAGGAAAGAGGAAACCTCTGTGTTCCCTTTTGCCTCAATTCGACCTGATCCATCTTTTCTGTTTTTATTTTATATTTTTGGGGGTCTTGAAACTGAGATGAAGCCATTTTAGCTCCATCACAGAGCTAATGGAGCTATCGTAACCAGAAGTAAATATTTTGGTATTTTGGACTCGTCAAACTTTAATCAAACAATAATTCTATGTATTTTTCTCTCTAAAATTAGCCCCTTGTTCTATTGTTGTTGAAAGTTGTTTTGATGGAAAAGTTGTAACTATGACCTTTAAGATGAATATTAATATTATAAACATTCATATAGCTGGAAATAATTAGACTTTGGATATGTGGAGTCACTGGAAGGAAAACAGACAGTTAATTTTGTAATATTTTTCACCACAGTTCCCACTAAGTGTCAGATGACTCCAGAGAAAACGATCCAAGAAAAGACCAGGTTCACAATTGCATTCTCATTAGCAGGTTAGTCGCTAAGATCCCTGTGGAGCATGGGTAAAGACTAGCAGCGTGGGGACGGACTTGTTTTAACCACAGTGATTAATAAATGTCTTTAATAAACACAGAGGAGAATTCCCCCCCTCCACCCCTCCCTCACCCAGCAAACCGGCCGAGGCTAGATAAGTGTATGTTTAGTAGGATTAGGGGCAGCTCATTGCTAATGATTACACTAGTTTTTAAAGGTAACTTTTGGTTGCTCCTTAGGGCACAATGCTGGCATTAAAAATCGTGTGCAGTAATTAGGTCACGGATATGCGATAATCAGCTGGTTTAAGCTAAACAAGACACTAATTAAAGATATACATATAAAGCAGGTCAGGAAAAAAAACAGTGAACTTCATTTGCAAACGCGAGGATGTACTCTTGAGTCTTTTAAGAACAAAATTTAAATAAATATATATAAATATAAATCAGAGTGGCTTAGCTTAAGGCTGTAAGGAACTTAATTCCACCAGTGGAGACAAAATTGTTTATTTATTCACAGAGGCATGAAGTCCTTATCATGCCTGTGTGTTGTGATGGGTTTGAACATGGGACAGGCTATGTTTATTTTAATCTAAGAAATAATAACAGACAACCCCCCACCCCAATTAGGAATTAATGAAAATGAGAGCGAGATAAAAACCTATTTTCTTTATAGAGACTATTAAACATAACACTTTCTCAACAGGGTGGGGGTGTTGCGGATGTAATTATCTTCTGAATTTTAATGCTGGAAGTTTTTCCCTCTGTATAACCCCAGCCGCCCCCCCCTTTTTTCTTCAATCTTAGCATCTCCAGCACCGTCTCTTGTCTATTTTGACTTAAGCACCTCAGTTCTGATTGCTAAAGCTTGTGGCAGTTTGTAACTTTAGAAGAACACTCAGCTGCACACACTGCAAATTTTTTTTATCTAAATAAGTAATTTTTTGAATTTAGGAGGTAAGTGGGACATTTTGCCAAATTGAGAAAAAAAAACAAAATCTAGATTTTGAAGTCATTTTTCTTAAGATAAGTGCATTTGTTCTTGAATTGATGAGGTAAAGGAGACATTTTGCCAATGGAACAAGACAATTTACATTTAAAATAAGAAAAAAACAATTGCATTTTCCTATTTCAACTGCATTTTATCTAACTATCTTATTTTAAGGGTAAACATACTCATTCCATTGGGAAACTATCTCATTTACCTGCTCAAATTAACTGTAAATGGACGTAATTTAAGACATTTTTGCTCATCTCTAGATCGTTTTCAATGCAGAAAATAATTCTGAATATTCAAACTTTTAATGACAACAACACTGGAAAAACAATCTAGAAATAGGTAAAAAAATTCTTAAATTAACTGTATTTACCCTTCATTTGAGTAGTTAAATGAGATTTCCAATAGAAAGTCAATTTTCTCTTGAATTGAGGAGGTAAATGAAACACTTTGCCAATGGAACAAAAACATTTATATTCAAAATAATAAAAAAAACAATTGCAATGTCATATTTCAAGTGCATATTATCTACTTATAATCTAAAATACTAACTCTATCGGCAAATCATCCTATTTACCTACCCTAATTAAGGGTAAATACAGTTAATTTAAGTATTTATTTCTAGATCGTTTTTACGGTGAAGGTTAAACTGATCAAATAGTTGGTGTTGTTAAATCTTTCCCAGGGTTAAATCTAGCAAGTTTTTGGTAAAGTTATTGGTTTTCCAAAGCCTTGCTGTGCTGTTTAGTGCATATATGTGGTTTTTGTACAGTTGGTTCGTCTCCCTCAGAGCAGTAATCACCGCTGCCTGTGTTGCCACCGACGCGTTTACTGCTGAGTTTTAGAAAGCTAAACTCCACCAGAGGTATTGCTTTACACCTGCTGTAAAGCTTAGGAAAAACCTACCTAATCAGATGTTCTTTAACCTTTTTTTCTGCTACGACTTGCTAGTCGTTCCTCACAGAGACTGGCTTGGTGTTTCGAGCTCAGGGACACTCGAATTAGAAAGTTTAACGTGTGAGAAATATGTGTTGATATAGGTGTCATGTACCGTCTCTACGTTAGTGTGTACCAGTGGGTCGGGGGTGGTTTGGCTTGTGTTAACATATATATCACAATCTTCTGCTGTGAACAGGATGTGGTCACTGTACCATTGTTTTTATCTTAATAACGTTGCTGTTAAAAAGAAAAAAAGACAACGGTTGTTTGATTCTCTCTGGTTGTTTATGTCTGTCTGTGTGAGAATGCATGCATGATGGCCTCTGTCTCACCACCTACCCGCAGCAATTTAGAGTTACACTTAAATTATAGTAATCAACAATAACATGTCTACTGTGAACGAAGGTGAACTCTGGTACTTTACCTTTGAGATAGATATTTAACAGCACTAAGAGAGACGATGGATGGATGGATGGATGGATGGATGGATGGATGGATGGATGGATGGATGGATGGATGGATGGATGGATGGATGGATGGATGGAGGGATGGATGGATGGATGGATGGATGTATGATAGATAAATGGATGGATGGATGGATGGATGATGGATGGATATATGATAGATAAATGGATGTATGGATGATGGATGGATGGATGATAGATAAATGGATGGATGGATTGATGGATGGATGGATGATAAATGGATGGATGGATGGATGGATGGATGGATATATGATAGATAAATGGATGGATGGATGATAGATAAATGGATGGATGGATGGATGGATGGATATATGATAGATAAATGGATGGATGGATGGATGGATGGATGGATGATAGATAAATGGATGGATGGATGGATGATGGATGGATGGATGGATGGATGGATGATAGATAAATGGATGGATGGATTGATGGATGGATGGATGGATGATAGATAAATGGATGGATGGATGGATGGATGATAGATAAATGGATGGATGGATGATGGATGGATGGATGGATGGATGGATGGATGGATGGATGATAGATAAATGGATGGATGGATTGATGGATGGATGATGGATGGATGGATGATAAATGGATGGATGGATGGATGGATGGATGGATGATAAATGGATGGATGGATGGATGGATGGATGGATGGATGGATTAATGGATGGCTGGATGGAAGGATGGATGATAGATAAATGGATGTATGGCAATGGATAATTTGTGGATGGATGAATGGATGGATAGGTGATGGATGGACATTGGATGGATGGATGGATGATGGATGTATTAATGAATGGATTGATGGATGGATGATGGATGAATGAATGATCGATAGATGAATGATGGATGGATGAATGGATCTATTGGGGCTGATTCTATCAGAGCTCTGGGTTAAATCAGGCTGTTCTGTCTAAACATTAGAACCAGATCCTGGTCTAAAGTCATTCAGTGTAACAGGTT